CTGCTGAAGGCAAAGGCAGGCCGTGGCCTGGGTCATCCAGACCCCCTCACCCTGGCAGCACTAACGACAGGCCAGACGTCCCTGCGAGTGCCCCACCTGCCCCTGCCGAGGAAGGGGTGGGCACCGGGAGCCCACGAGATGCAGGAGGGCCTCCTCCCTCAGCCCTGGGCAGAGGGGACAGAGCACCTGGCCTGAGGGCACTGGGGAGGAGCTTATCTGCCCTGCAGTCTGTCGCTGTTGTCCCTGTCAGGGACAAGGGCGGGGAGGGGTTGTGTCTGGTCTGCCCCTCCCTTCCCCTCCCCTGGGGCAGCCACTCTGGGACGGGAGGAAAGAAAGAAGCTCGTGGCCCTGCTGGACCGGGGCTGTAGAGTTCGTCCTGCGGAGGCACAAGCAGAAGCTGAAGAAGCTGCTGGACTCTGCGAGGGCTCAAAGTCCACCACTTCCACGTGGCCAGAATGGAGCAGAGAGAAGGCCCGAGGCACCCACCACCCAGAGCAAAACAGGCAGTGGGCTCTTCCTCTCCGGCCCCGGCCCGGCCTTGGTTGTGGCTGACCTCATGCCCTCGGTCCCTGACCTCTGCCCTGCTGAAAGCCACACTTGCACCTGGCACCTCTGTGCCCCCAATACTCCACCTCGTGCCAGCCAAGAGAGGCAATGGACTGCCAGCCTGCCAGGCTCAGCCTTTCCTGTCCCTGACAACCTGTCCTGGGGCCAAGATGCCAAAAGTTCCTTCCGCAGGGCGGGAGTTGTGACTGGGGCACAAGGACGGGCACCGAGCTGCTCTAGGGGGCCAGCGAACAGCCCCAGGCCGGAGCACTCCTGCTGTCCTGGGGGCCTTGGCCTCAGGCCCTGACGCTGCTTGCCCTGTGTCCCCGACCTCTCGGGGCTGGGAATCCAGGACATGCTGCTGCCTGGGAGCAAGTGAACAGGTTCCCCGTGGGGAGCCCTGAGAGCCGCAGCCTGAGGGTTCACGCGCTCGCTCCCTGGCTGCCTTGCTCACGTCTCAAAACCTCACACCCTTCCCTGCACGTGGCCAAACGGCCAGCCGGCTCCGGTTACTGTGTCTGGAGGACTGGAATCCAGGGAGCAGCTGGTGGTGACCTGCTCGGCTCCCCAACTCTGCTTCCCTCCCAGCTCCTGCTGGGCCCTGGGTTATGTCCGGGGCAAGTCACTGGGGGAGGTGGGAGCTGCCTCCATTCTGAGCCACGTTCGGGCTTTGTTCTTGGTGGTGGCCCAGTTCCACAGACAAGCTGGGGTGAGGAGGACAGAGGGCCCTGGCTCCCTTTCTGGCTGGCGAAGGTGTCTCTGGGCAGGGTGGGATGGGTGGAGACCGTGGCTTTCCCACAGTGACCAGCCATCCCTGGGACAGCCCTGGTGTCCTGTTTCGGCAGCTCACTTAAACTTCCATGCTCACTGCCGCTCCCCCTGCCTGCTCCCCTGTCCCTGCCCCAGCTCCTAGGGCTGAGAGAGCATGGGCACTAGACTCTGGTCACACCCTGCCATCAGATCCCAAGGGAAAGGCTGGCCTGCGCGTCAGCGGCAGGCGAGGCCAGAAGTCCGGTCCTTTTCAGGCTCTAGGTGACTCAGGCGAGGGCCCCTTGCCCTGGAGCTGCAGGGCTGGTGTGACTTGGGGGTGGATGGCTCCTAGGGACAGGGAATGGGGGCCCCAGTGGCCCCGCATGGCACAGCCAGGAGGCAGTTCTTGGGACCCAGGGGCAATTGTGGTGTCAAGCCCGGTGGCCACAGGTGTCAAGCCCGGTGGCCACAGGCAACCCGCGCCCCCCCATGTGGGGTGCTTTAAGGTGCTTAGCATGGGGCAGACACTGGTGCCCGGGACAGGGTATAGGCAGCCATACCGAAACAGGCCCTGATGGCCCTGTCCCTGACACAGCTATAGGTGACAGAGAATAAACCAGCGGTGGCCAATGAGGCTGTCTGGTTCTTAGGAACAGGATGCATCTGATGAGTGACCGAACTCCTGAAAAATGGTTTGTCACTGTCCCTCTACCCACCGGCCAGGCTGCAGCCCAGAGCTAGCCCCATCAGCATCTGGCCTGACAGTCCATGGGGTTGGCTCCTTCCCAAGGTGCTCGGGCCTGCAGGGGTTGAAGGTCAGCCTCAGACGGCAGAGAGGCTGCCGGGGCAAGCCTTTGTCTCAGGCTGCCAGCCCATCATGCTGCCTGCAGACACAGGCCATGGCCTGACTCCCCTTCCTGGCTAGAGGAAGATGTCTGTACCTGGCACCCACAAGCTGCGGAGGGCTCCCCAGGGCAGGCTGCTACAGGAGACACTCTCCCCTCCAGTGTCCCCATCCGGCCACGAGTTGCTGACCAGCCCCCGCCCCCCTCCCCATTCCCTTGCCCAAGCTGGTCTGGTCCGTGGGGACAGGGCACCGAAGCCTTGTGCATGCCCTGTGGTGGCTCAACCCGGACCCTCTAACAAGCAGACGAGCCGTCCTGGGGCAGGTGAGGCGGGCAGGTCCGGGCAGGAGGCAGCAGACTGGGCTCAGGGGCCTGGGGCCCACCTGCCCTTGGCGTTGTGTGGGGTGTCCTCCTACCCCTCCCCTGAGGTCCCCCGGGGTGGGGGTGGGCATCCTCACCTGCATGGGCCGGGAGCACATGTTGGTGAGCACCTCCTTCCGGGCCAGTGAATACTTGTCATTGCCAAAGAGTTTGGTCAGGCTTTTCTAGAAGCAAAGCCACATGATGTGCAGTCAGGCTTGGGGAGAGGCTATGGGGCCCTGTCACCCGCTGAGCATCTGAGACCTGGCTCTGGGGGGAAGGGTCAGCTGGATGGCCACGGGTGGGGTGCAGGGGGGCCATCAGCCCCAGACTGTGTCCCGCACTGGGCCTGACTTGGGCCCTCAGCTCTGAGGCCTGTCCTTCCACATCTAGCAGGTCGGCCTGGGCAGACTGGTCTCTAACTGTCTGGCTACAGCATCTCTCCACCCACCCCAGGATTGGAGCACAGGTAGGACGGTCTCCGTCCTGGCAGATCAGAGCTGAGACCACGGATTCCTGAGCCCCACGAGGCTTAGTTCCAGGCAGGGGACTCTTGACACCACTTACCATAAAAAACATTCTCTGGCTTCCAATGACCCCAGGCCCTACTGAAAGCCTCTGGGCCCCAGCCCAGCCCTGGCCACAGGTCCTCTGCCCACAGCTGGGGCCCTGGTGACTCGGGGGCCTTCTCCGCAGGGCCTCCCCTCTCTCTGTGCTAGGAGTCCTGGCTAATGGGGAAGGGACTTTGGTGGGACACAGGGGCTGCTGCACCGCCCACGTCCAGGCCTCCCTCCACTCCCCCAGACAGGGCCTCTCCCTGCCCCTACCCCAGCTCCCTGCACTCACATTGAGGGCCCCGGCAGAGCTGAAGTCCATGGGCAGCCCCATCTGGTCGCAGAATTCCTCCAGGTCACTGAGCATCTTGGTCTGGGGTGGGGGGTGCCGGCGCAGCAGGGCCCGCTCGGGGAAGGCGCGGAAGATCTTGTGGGCCACGGCCATGTTGGCCAGGAGCATGAACTCCTCCACGAGCCTGCGGGGGGCACCGCCAGGTCAGGGGCCGCTGCCCATCGGTCCCCAGGCTCCCTGCTGGCTGGCTCTCTTCATCCTCGTCTCCGACTGGAGATGCCCTCCCCCCACCGGCCGCTCTTTGTTCCCCCGGTTGATCTCCCCCCTGAGCGCGCCCCTCATCTGCTAATCAGTCTGCAAACTCCGCTTCTGCTGTGTCAGCTCGTGCGCCACCGCCCCCATGAGACGGGGCTGACCCCCCCTGCTGCAGCCCCAGGGCTCGGCACCCTGCCTGACCCAGAGGTGTTCGGTAAAGATGTCTGTTGGGTGACCAGCCCCCCAGATCATTCGGGGGCACCCCCAGCTGTGAGGAAACAATGTGCCTCCCTGGAGTGTGTGGAAGGTAAGAGCAGACCTGTGCCCCGAGCTGGGCTGCCCCCCAGGGAGATGAGTTTCTGAGGACAAGGAGGGGACTCACAGACAGCAAACGTGAAATCACGCATCTTGGGATAAAGCAAAGGTGCTTTTGGGGTGTTCGAACCCCAGACAGTCAACCTCTGGGAAGTTCACTGTGGTTTAGCTTCATCTGAGTGTGATCAGTATGAAAGCTACGACTTTACAGAAGAGACAAAAGCACACCAAGGACCTGGGGGAGGGGCAGCGACAGCGGGGTGCAGGGGGTGTGCCAGGACTGAGGAGTTGGTTAGGAACGCGGGAAGCTGGACCACGCAGGCCTGAGGTCAGCAACACCCCCAGTCTGGGGCCCACATGCCGCTCCCCCTGCCTGGGGCTCCTGTGGGAGGACAAGTGGATCACACAGTGCACCAGAGCTGAGGCCTCTGGGAAGGGGCCTCTGGCAGGTCCCGGTGCCACCGCGGCCAGGGTGCCCTACGTGGGGAAAGCCTTTCCCGGCTGAGGGAGGCTCTCCCGCCTTTGATCTGAACCCCGGGCTGCACGTCAAACCTGTGCTCCCACGGAGGCAGGAGAGGTCAGGCAGGCCTGGCGGCGGCTGGAAGCCCAGCATGAACTTCCCCTTCCTGGAGGTGTGGGCATTGCTGTGGGGTTGGCCTGTCACCCCACCAAGCTCTTGGAAAGAAAAGCAGCCAGTGAGGGGGAGAGAGAGAATGTGAGCGGGTGAAGCCCGCTCCCCAGGCTGGGCCTGCCTTGGCAGAATGGGGCTGGTCCGCCAAGCTGTCCCCAGGGCACGTCTCTCCCAGAAGCCCTCTCTGTAAGTCCTGCACTGCCAGCCCCTCCCCTGCGGGGACTGCGTTGGACAGGCCCATGGAGGGGCAGGACACGGCCTGGGTGCAGGGCTGCAGGCTCAGGCCTCCGCTGGCCTGTGTACCCTGCAGGGAGCCCAGTGTGGGGAATGAGGAACTTCTTCATTCGCCACTGGGAGTCGCAACAGCTTTTTAAGCGGGCATCCTACCCGCCCCCCAATCTGTCCTTGAGCACGTGACTCCCGCTGTAAAGCCCTTGAGTTCCAGCACCTGAGCTCGACCACTGAACCTCCTAAGATGAGGTCTGCATCCTGACTCCACATGTCCTTGCTGTAGGACCCTGAATGGGTCATGGACCTTTCTGAGTCTCCGTTTTTTCAAAGGTAGCACGGGAATAACAACACCTGCTTCACAGGGTGGCTGTGAAGACTGACGGAACAGCACACGTTTTAAGGGCCGACCCTGTGCCTGCCCCACTGTCCACCTCGAGACACGAGAAGTGCTTTCCTCTCTCCCTGGCTTCCATGCCACATGGCCAGGCTGGGGTCTCCCTAGGGTGCCCTGTGATTTTCACCCGTGCTACCTACGCCCCCCTTCCTCACCCTTTCCACACCTTTATCACCTAAATGCTTCAGATGCAGACATTCATTGATTCATTGATTCATTCATTCATCTGTTCACACAACAAACATTACTGTGTGCCAGGCAGCTCTAGACTCATCTCCGCATGCAGTCCAAGAATCATCGTGGGCAGGGGGCACACAGTCTCTTTCCTGGAGCCCGTCTCCAGCCCCAGAGGCAGGTTGGGTGAAGACCCTGGGCTGCGTTTTGGCAGTGTGGCCAGCAGGGGGCAGCATGGCCCTACAGTTGGGCTGCAGGTTAGGGAACACTGGGCAGGGCAGAGTAGCAGGGCTGGGCTCTAGGGGCTTCTGCTTGTCCCCTCAACCCTGCACTCTCACCCCTGGGTCAAAGAAGCGGAATGCCTGGGCAGCCTCCCCAGGCGGAGCGGCGTTCCTGCTCCCAGCCCTGCAGGGGCTCTCCTGCCACCCCCCTCAAGGTCTTAAGCAAGGGCAAGGGCAGGAGGAAAGGGATGGGGCCGACGTTCAGAGCCCCAGGCAGTGACAACAGACCCTGGTCAAGCTGCTTCTCCAGTGACTCCACTACTGTGCTCCCTGGACCCCCGGTACAGTGCCATAAGTCCCCTGGGGCTGGTGAGAGACAGAGATGGATGCTCTTACTAACCCTGAAAGGAAGTCTGCTCAAGCTCTGGATGCAGAAACTGATCCTGGACAAGTTCCTTGGTGCCTGTGGGGGGCTCCCGCCCTGAGTATCTCAGCCCCTCCCTCGTGACTCGAGGGACAGGAGTTGAGAGGGAGGCCCGGGGGATCCTCTCCAAGACGGTTTGCTGATAATGAACATTCACCCCAGAAAAACGTCCACATCACCCAACTGGGAGCTGGTGCAGCAAGACGCCCGAGTGCCTAAGTGCCGCTCATTCGTGTTCTAGGATACTGCAGGGGCCACGTCCCCACAGCCTGCCCTGAAAACCCCTCCTACACCAGCACGTGGGAAAGCGAGGGGCAGAGGGAACCCACGAAGCTGTGAGCATGAGAAAGCAGGAAGGGGGCCTGGTGGTCAAGCTCTCTGTGGCTAGAAGGGGCTCAGGGCAGACGGGACCGGGTCCCCATGCAGCACATAGCAGAAAGGCCTGGGAAAGCCAAGCGGCCAGCAGCCAGATGCCACAAACCTGGCCGCACCATGGGAGGGAGAACTGGGCTGGCTGGGGATAGGGCTGATGGGTGACAATGCTCTTCTCTGGGGCCCGCGAAGGCCCCTCTCACCAGGATCCACAGGTCCTCCTCCCAGGTCAGTTCCCAGGAGAGACCAGCAGGGGGCCCCCAACGTCTTCCTTCCACAGGACCTGGGACGTGGCAGGGGCAGGAGCGAGCCTTTGATTACTAACTGCAGCCCTGCAGCCCTCGGCCGGGGGCTCTGGGCTCCGCTGTTCTGCTCTTCACCAAGGCCAGCCCTGGGCCGAGGGCTGTTCTCGGGGAGGACGGCGCTCTGTGGGAGGGTGGCAGCCGGAGGAGCTCCGGTGGCTGTGCCCTGGTCTCCTTCCTCTTTTGGGGGGCAGTGGTGCGCGCACAGGCCTGACCCCAGATGATGCCTCAGGCTGCTCTGGGTGGTTAGGATGTGGCTCTGAGAGCCACCCGAACACGCTGGGGCCTGGCCTGATGGGGCAGGAGCCCCATGTGCCACCCTGGCCTCAGACGTGCACCTCGATCTGGGGGCCGGCCCTGACCGACCCCACCAGCACCCACTCCCCTGCATGGCACAGGCGTGAGATCGCTCAGCCCTGCCGGGGGAGGTGGGGGTGGGCAAGCTGGAACTCAGCGACTGCCTGGCAACTGCTCTAAGTAGGGGCTCAGGAATGGCCGCCAGCCAGGACCACCTTCCAGAAGAGCAAGCCAAGCCCTCAGAGATGGGGCCCTGGTCCCAGGCCTGGCACCTGCTGGGCATCTGGAGCCCAGTGCCACTGGGGGTCCACCATTCTGGAGGTCTGGGGCGGGCTCTGCTATGATAGCTGCATGGCCAGCTGGGGGCCAGGCCAGGGCGCAGGGGGGCAGCACTCATTTGCAGCATCCCACCTACCTGTGCTCTGGGCTCCAGGTGTTGGAGGACAAGGCAGAAGGGAAGGCGAGAGGCTTCTTATCCCAGGGAGGAGCTGAGCAAGCCTAGAAATGTCAGAGTCTCTCACCTGTTACAGCAGGTGAGGCCACAAGTAACCTACACACAAGAACACACACTCCTCCCACAGCAAAGACGACTCTGGTCTAAAATAGTGCTTCTCAAAACGTGTGAATGTTATTTAAAGGAAAAAAGCATAATTATATATGAAACGCGAGGGGGTCTAGTGGTTACCTGCCCAGCAGCCTGCCCTGAACCCCAGCTCTGCCACTCACTAGTTGGGTGATTTCAGATAAGTTTCTTAGCCTCTCTGAATCTCAGTTTATTCACCTGAAAAACGGAGATGTGACATACAAGTGCCTGGCTTAATGATTACATCATTATGCATCCTGTGGATGTCACTGACCCGGGGGCCACGGCCCCAGGGTCTGGGCCGAGCACAGCAGGATGCCCAGAGGCCTCTGCTGCCCTCCCGCCACAGTGCCGTCTCCTACCCGCTGGCCGTCCCCCTAGTCACGCCTCCCTGCCCCACGCCCCCAGCGGTGCATGCTTTCTTCAATACAAATCTGGTCACGTCCCTCTCTTGCCTGAAATCATTCAGCAGCTACCCCTGCCCTTGGGACAATTCTGCCTCCTGGTAAAGTGAGGTTTCCCAGGTTTTCTGTCACGTGCTGGGATCACCTCTCCCTTCTCCCCACCCGCACCCCTCCCGCTTCAGCTGTGCTGAGTTCTCGTGGCTCCTTCTTGCTTCTGTGCCTTTGCCACCCCTTTTCTGCACTCTCTCACTCCTCCCGCCTCTTTCTCTTACACGCGCCTTCCTCGGGGCATCACGGTGCCCGCCCTGTGCGCCCCTGAGCGCCCGTTTGTATCCCGTCATGGCTTCAGCCCACACTACTGCAACTGCCTCTTTGATCGTGGGCTGCATCGCCCTCCCCACCCCGACGCTGCCTGCCCTGGTCCCACTGCAAGGCTTGGCACAGGGCGGACACTGACTGTGTAGAACAAGGGGTTCACAGGACGGGGCACGTCCGGGAGCTGGGAGGGCCAGGTCCCTGACGCCGTGCCCTTTTCTGAGTGGGCGCGCAGCCCTCGCACACCTCTGACGCCCAGCACTGCT